AACAAGATCCTTGTGTGAGTGGACTTAGCAAGAAAGTCTGACTCAGTCAAGCATAACTCCATTAACACATTAACACAATCTATGGGCCATTTATTCAAATCTTGGTCTTTTCCCATTTGATGCACTTGTTGCCTCCTTTCAAGCCCTTGATTTTTATCTTTCAGTAGGAGAAAAATCCCAACCTTGATTTTAATCTTAAAGGCCTGGGGAGAAAAACCTTAATAAGTTTCCTCTCAATACCCTTCCTAGATCATAATTGTTTAAAGATGGTAGATTTAGAGTAGGAAATAAACAGTACATTAAGGAGGTCTTGTACTTTCATTTCTAGCTTGTCATCCCCAGCCTTCTTCATGTCAGACTTATCATTCTTATGTATAATCTGTCCTCAAAAAGCAAGCCCTAGTGCTTATTTCACCAAGTTCTCTATAACTGGTTTAAAAAAAAAAGAATCAAACCCAAAATCTATTTGTAAGAGAATGACAGAGATGGGATACAGAAAGATGAGCTATTCATTAAAGGCCATTTGTCTGAATTCTCGGTTAGTGCTCCAAGGCAGCTGTCAGCATATTAGTGGGAGTATTTAAGCAGGATTATTGAAGCTTTATGCAACTGTAGATAGGGATAGTCTCTATGTAGAATCTTGCCTATTTCCAGTGACCAAATGTGATACTGAACGAAATAATGGTCAGAAAGAACATCATCAGGCTCCTAATGAGAAGTTGTTGACAGAAAAATTGCTCTCACATTCATCAAAAAGGCAATAAATGTCAAGAAAGGGACAGACTGGAGATACAGTAGCTCATAAATCCCTTCTTTCAGACTGCCCTAGGAGAATTTAAGGACAATATATCTGCCATGTTCTTCTCATAAATGATGGCAAACTTTCAGAAATTCTAGGACAATTGGATGGAGTAGTCACTTATTCATTCATCAAGCATTTTAAAAGCACCTACTACGTGCAAGTGATAGGTTCAAGTCTCACTTCTAACATACATTGACTGTGTGACCCTGAGTCTGTCACTTAACCTGTGAGGGCTCCAGGCAATTCTCTACAATTATAAATTGCAGAGCAGATGTGCATTAGTAGAGGGGGTTTCCTTTATGGGAGGTCCTTTTAACCAATGAGGTCACAAGTCTGGACCAAAAAATAATTACGCTAGTTGCTGTGGATATAGACAGAACAAGAAAAGCCCCTGTCTTCAAGGAACTTATACTCTATAGAAGGGTATTACACAATATAATTTGAGAAAAGAGAGAGTAATAATGAGGAAGGGGATCAGGAAAAATCCCCTGCCCCACCTCCACATCCCACACGAATTGAGCCTGGAAGGAATCTTAAGCTTTTTAGAGGCAATGTATTCTAGATATCCAAAGACTTGGAGGAGGGAGATGGAGATCCAAACTCAGGAAACAACAGCTTGACTGGAATACAGAATCTGAAGGGGGATAATATGAACTGTCTGGAAAGGTAGGTAGTAGCTAGTGTGAAGGGCTTATGTCCAAATGAGTTCATAAAGGCAACAGGGAATGTGACAAACCCTGAAAGCAAGGCCTGTTTGGGCATAATTCAACCTGGAGTTGGCTGTGGGCTTGTGTCAAAGGCTTCTGAGTCAGAATTCTATAACTAACTGGCTCTGTATTTTTAAAAATGATTTGTCATACTCTTTAGAATACAGTATGTCTACCTTGTGCTATCATTTGTCAGTGAACTAAAAGTTTTGATCCTAAATAGTAATATCTGATTGAGGAATACAAGATTTATGTAACATCTATAAATGCAAACTAAAATAATTGAAAAAAAAATCTAGTCATCGCAAGAAGACTTCAGAAAACCCTGGAAAGACTTGTATAGACTGATGCTGAGTGAAATGAGCAGAACCAGGAAGGAAAACATTGTACACAGTAACAGCCATGCTGTGCGATGACTAACTTTGATAGACTTACCTCTTCTCAGAAATGCAAGGATCTCAGACATCTCCAAAAGTCTCATGATGGAGAATACTATCCATATTGAGAGAAAGAACTATGGGGTTTGGATGCAGATCGAAGCATACTACTTGCTTTTTTTCCCTTCTGTTTTGTTTTGTTTCTTCTTTTTTGTGGTTCCTCCTATTGGTTCTGATTCTTCTTTACAACATGACTAATGTGAAAATATGTTTAATAGGAAAGTATATGTAGAGCCTCTATCAGATTGCACGCTGTCTTGGGGAGGGAGGAGGGGAGGAAAGGGGAGAAAATTTAAAACTCAAAAGCTTATGGAAGTCAATGTTGAAAACTAAAAATAAAGTAATAAAAAAAATCTAGTTATCTCTCCTTTCTCTGAACTTTAAACTCTTGTGCTAACTTATTGTCATCAATTAATTATATATTATTATTTATATATTAATTGATATATAATTAATTATGACATGTAATTAATTATATATTGCTATGTGACAGCTCTCCTATTGTTGCCTGGCATTGTGACTTACATCTTAAATTATTTATTATCAAATAAGATAGTACATGTAAAATGCTTTGCAAACCTAAAAGCACTATATAAATGCTAGCTATTATTAATATGTCACATATTTTTGGTTTGTTTCCCCAACTTGCTTGCAAACCCTTTGAAGACAAAGTAGCTTATCTTACATGTCTTCACCCCTATTCCTCTCAGTTTATGTTGCCTTGCACATAAGGTTTGTTTGCAACTGCCCTGAGGGGCTAATACCTGGCTCAGAAAAGGGGAGCTAGCATTGAAGAGGGAGAAGGTGGAATGGAAGGAAGCACGTTGGGGAATTAGGGAAAGTATGGCTGTCTTGGAGATAAGCCCTACAAGTGATGAGCATCACAGGATCCAAAAATCGTAAACTTAAGAGCTGCAAGGGACCTTAGAGGCAACAAAGTCCTCATCTCTCATTTTACAGATAAGAAAACTGAGGCTGAGAGGGGTTAAATGACTTGTCCAGTGTCTTTGTAGTTTGAGACAGAAACTCAGATCTTTCCACCTTCAAGCCCAACACTCTAGTTATTGTACTACCAAAGGATCTAGGATGTGACCCCTCTTTAAACCCTTCAAATGGTTAGTCACACTGCTTGGCCTTATACCATGATCACCTTATGTCTATCATGTCATAGCCTCAATTTTGGAAACCACTGGTTAGGGGCAGCTAGGTGATACGGTGGATAGAGAATTGGCACTGAAGTCAGAAGGATCTAAGTTCAAATCTGGCCTCAGACCCTTACTAGCTGTGTGACCCTGGGCAAGTCACTTAACCCTGTTTCCTCCCCCTCCCCCTCAAAAGAAGAAGAAATAACTGGTTTAATAGACAATTTTTATCTATTGGTTTTTTTTTCCTGTGGAAGGATGTGCCCTTTTAAGTAAGACTCCAGCAAAGTTGAAAGTCATAAGGGTCAAAAACTGAGAAAATATGATATAAGGGTGAAGCCCTTTCAGGTATAATTAAAGCATTCCACATCTTGTAGGGGTTCAGAGACTTTGAAGAGATCAATGGTATATGAAAAGGCCAACAGAGACTCATGAACTTGTCCCCAAGACAGAGATTATCTTAAAGGTACAATTATCAAATGGTCAGAATGGGAAAAAAAATCGTTCAGTTCATTCACCTGGGGATTTCAGATTGAATTCCAAACACTCTCAGTTTAATCATAAGATGCTCAATAAAAAATACATTTGGCGTTTTTTTTTTTTTCTCTCCAATCAACTCCAAGGCTTTTTGGTGCCTCAGTGGCTCTACGAGGGCACTATGATATTCTCAGATACAAAGATAAAATGCTTTCTTAAACCTCTGGGCTTGATGCCACTGCAATGGAGCAATGACTTCTGGGAACTATATACTCTATCAATCTAGGCTCTTACACAGATACATTTACTCTACTGGAAGAATCAGGAAAAATCTTCACCTTATTCGTTTTTTTTCCCTCTAGCTATGTGTCCTCTACAGAAATGATTTGGGGAAAAAAAATCTCAAAACTGTGAGCTGGGAATTTTTGAATTCATTTATGAGCTATAACTTGTGTGAAGGGAATTCCACATAGGCAACAGGAAGACTAATCATCCAAGCCTCACTAATCCACTGGTGGTAGGAGCTGTGCTTGTTTAGTGCTGGGAGCCAGAGAGGGGTGGCTGGCACAGGGTTGCATTCATATCCCCAGCCTTACTATTTCTACTTCCCTTTTTACTCTACACCCACCCTTCCATCTTCCTATTTTTCTATAGGTGGTGGTGGTGTTCAGTCATTTTTCACTTGTGTCTGATTCTTCATGACTCCATTTGGGTTTTCTTGGCAAAGATACTGGAATGGTTTGCCATTTCCTTCTCCAGCCCATTTTACAGATGAGGAACTGAGGCAAACAGGGTTAAATGACCCAGAGTCACACAGCTAGTAAGTGTCTGAGGTCACATTTGTCACCCCAGGTAAACAAGACTGGCCCCTTAAAAAAGGGAGAAGGGTAGACTGGGGGAATTTGTGTTAGAAACTCCACCCCTTGCTCCCTGTCCTCTGGGAGCATCCTTTCCTGGCCTTTTGCTATACTGATTTTAGGAAGGGAACACTTCATATCCTTTTTTTCCCCAAAAAAATCTTTGTTCTTTTAATGTTTTTATTAGTAAAAATTGGTTTTTAATAGATTTTAAAGCTCGAATGCCTGTTGCATTTTAAATCTGAAACCTGGGGGAGATATACTGGGAGAAGATTTGGAGCGGGGGGGAATCAAATCTTGTTCCGAGTGGAATGAAAGAAATGTTCAGTGTGGAGATTTCCAGCACCTCTAGCATCTTATCTCAGGGACATTATCAACTGGTTTCATTTTACTTCACATCTGGAGATGACTAGAGTCAACTCATTCAGCCTTATAGGACTACAACAGGATTGTGTATCTTTCTTTCTTTTAAAAAAAATTTACTTGCATCCATTCCTTAGATTGGTGCCTTTCTTTGCTCATCCAAGTTCCTCTGAACTATGTCAAAGCCTGTACTTTGCAAAAGAACACAGCAGGTATTCAATAACCTTTCATCACATTTTACTATTCTGAATAATGTTTCATTTTTATTATCTATTTGCATGTCATATCTCATGGAATTGGAATCTTTAAAATGAGATAAATTGCAGTCAGGCTAATTTCAACTTGGAAATTTCAAATTTCGACTTTTTCAACAATGTTCTTGGTCTCATAGGACAATGAATCATTGTGTTTGAAGACTAGAGGCAGGTGTGGGGGTGGGAAGAAGGAAAGAGAACTCCATGGTGAAACTTCTAAAGCCCCAGCCCTGAAACCAAACCCATAAGCTTACATATAAGACATTGCAGATAATAAGAAAAAAATTTTCCTCCAAAAGGTATCATTATATAATCATTTGGAGAGGTTGGGGCTTTCCCAGGCTGCTTTCATTTCTTCCTGACACCTCCAATGGCTCTAGCCTAAGAGTGTGACCATACAGGCTTGCGCTTCTGGATAAAGGCTGTGATTCCCTCTTGCCCATCGTGAATGGCCAAATTGTCCACCATGGAGTGGGAGGCAAGATGGTAGGCACTCTTCAGGTCCTGTGTCAGCTGCCTGTAGAAGGTGGCCTTGCCCATTGCCACCACAGACCGGCTTGCTGTACAGATCTTTCGGGCTATTTTCATGGTCTCCTCCTCCAGCTTCTCTTCTGGAACCACTTTGCTGAGCAACCCATGAAGCAATGCTTCCTGGGCTGTGATGGGTTCCCCAGTAAACAGCATTTCTAAGGCAACCTAAGGAGGAAGTCAAGCCAGGTTATTAAGGCACTTGGAAGTCATATACCTCAAGTTTTCAGTTTCCTTTTCCTTCCCCTTTTACCTGAAACCATATACGCTTTGATTCAGCCACAACACTGGGCCATACATGTACCACCTAGGGGCAGGTAGGTGGTATGGTAGATAGAGTGCCAGACTCCAGAATCAGGAAGATATGAGTTTGAATTCTGATTTGGATACTTACTAGATATGTGACCCTAAGCATGTCATATACCCTCTTCTTAAGTTCTTACCTCTAAAACAGAAATAATAATGGGATCTACCTTACAGGCTGCTAGGTGGTGTGGCAGAGAGAATGGTGGAGTTGGAGCCAAGAATACCTGAATGCAAATCCAGCCTCAGATACTTACTAGATGTGTAACCCTAGGCAAGTCACTTAACCTATGTCTTCCTCAGGTTCCCCACCTGTAAAATGGGGATAACTGCACCTGCCTCCTGGGATGTTGTGAGGATTAAATGAGATAATATTTGTAAAGTACTTTGCCAACCTTAAAGCACTATATCAATGTTAGCTATGATTGTTAGTATTATTAATTACCTGTGTGACCACAGGCAAGTCACTTCCTTTTTCTTTGCCTCAGTTTCCTCATCCACAAGATGACAGGGTTGGCCTGGATGGCATTTGAGGTCTTTTGCAGTTCTACTGATCATAATATGCTTAATTATATTATAGAGAGATACTACTTATCTCTCTTTATACACAACACTCTGGTTGTGCGACTCCTGGCAAATCACTTAACCCTTCAGTGTTCCAGGCAACTCTAAGTTGAAGAGATCTGCACTGACCTGCACTGGTTTTTCATCCTAACTCCTTCTGCCAGTAAAATCACAGTTCTAGTTCCTATCTTTATCCCTATCCTTACTGTCATCCAGTTATTTTTCAGTTGTGTCTGACTCTTTGTGATCCCATTTTGGGGTTTTCTTGGTAGATACTGGAGTGGTGTGCCATTTCCTTCTTTAGTGCATTTTACAGATGAGGAAATGGAGGCAAACAGGGTCAAGTGATTTTGTCCAGGGTCACACAGCTAGTAAGTTGTCTGAGATCAGATTTGAACTCAGAGTCTTTCAGACTCCAGGCCCAGCATTCTATCCACTGAGCCACCTGGCTATCCTTATTACAATACCACTAATTCCAGGCAAGGGCAGGACCAAGTCTTTTCAAGAGAAAAGAAAGCTCACAATGGCCCAAGAAAACTCATCCTATTCTCTTTGTTCCCTCCACAGAAGTGATCAACTTTCTCTTAGTGACAGTATCTGATCTGCCAAGCTAGTGTCCCTAGTCATGTCTAATTGGATAATACCCCCTAAACTGCAGCTGAGAAATCAATCACCACATACCTATGTACCAGACACTGTATCAGGAAAAAAAATGTTCATTTCTCTTGACATCAAAACTCATTTTACACCAAGATACCAAACTCATTGAGCCCAGTTTCCTGGTTAGAGGAGAATAGTTTAAAACACATTTCTTCGAATAGATGAAGGTATGTATATGGCTTTAAATTCTCTTTAGTTACCAATTCCCTCTCAAACACAGAGGAAGGAAGGAAGGAAGGAAGGAAGGAAAACGAGAAGGAAGGATGGAAAGAAAGAAGCATGGAAAGAAGGAAGGATGGAAAGAAAGAAGGAAGGAAGGAAAGAAGAAAGAGGAAGAGGAAGGGAAGGAAGAAGTAAGGAATGGAAAGAGGGAGGGAGGAGAGAAGAAAGGAATGAAGAAGAAGAGAGGAATAAAGGAAGGAAGGGAGGGAAAAAGGAAGAAGAGGGGGAAGGATAGAAAAAGGAAGGGAGAGAGGAAGGGAGAGGTGGAAGGAAGGGAGGGAGGAAGGAAGCGGGAAGTAGAGAGAAGGAAAGATGGAAGAAAGGAAAGGAAAGAATGAGGTAAGGAAAGAAAAGATGAAAGGAAGGAAGAAGGGGAGGAAGAAAGAAGGGAAGGAAGGAGGAGAGGAAAGCAAAAAGGGAAGAAAGGGAGACAGGGAAAGAGGGAAGGAATGAAAGAAAAGAGGGAGGGAGGAAAGGAAATATTTATTATATGTTCTATTAAATACCTACTACTAAATACCAGACACTGTGCTAAGTGCTGGGAATATAAAGACAAAAATGAAACAGTCCAGGCCTAGGTCCACCCCATTTCTACCTCAATGATATGAAACTTCTAAAACCTTCAGGGATGATACTAAATAGAGGCAGCACAATAGAATAAAAGTCCACTGAACGGGGAATCAGGAGACATGGGTTCTAATCCTGGCTCTTCCAGTATCTAGCTATATGACCTTGGCCTAGTCACTTCTCCTGTGTAGGCCTTAGTTTTCTTATCAGTATCTGTAGAAGGAGAACCACGTCTCCCATGGAACACCTTAGGGATTTCATAAGCAGGTTTGCTCTTCTTGTGGAGCTCATGATTCTCACTGATTAATGACAGAGAGGCAGGTCAGAGGGCACAGCAGAAAGAGCTGACCTTGGACTAGGAGCCAAGTGCCTTCTCTGATCTATCTGGCTGTGTGACCCTGAGCAAATCACTTTGCCTCTCCGTATCCTAGGAAACTAAGACCATCAGTTGCAGAGAAGATGCCAACCTGCTTTGGTAGATAGAGCTCCTTACACCTATGAGACCGCAGGTTCAGTCCCTATTCCCTAATGACAAACAACAGGGAAGGCCACTCCTCCAGGCAGTATGGACAGAGAACGGATCGGCAGCTCAGGAAAACCTGGCTTCAGGTTCCCCTTCCAGCAGGCACTGTGGCTCTATAATTCTGAGCAATTGTGCCAGCTCTCATTCCCCCCAGGCAAATGTCCAAGACTTGAAATGGCATTGAAGGTGCTGATTTATATTGGTAGAGAGAGTTTCCTCGCTGGCAATTTGAATTCAGAGATCTAGAAAGTCCAAACATAAGAAATGGACCAGAGAAACATTTCTGCCCTGATGGACTATATTTAAATTGTGAGGGGCCACCCAAATCAGAAGCCTAGTGGAAAAAAAAATATTCTTTATGCCCCCATTTGCCTAGTGTTGTTCTATTAATACATATGATTCTCAAGAGAATTAGGAGGAATATACCAATGTGAAATTGCCAATTCTGAGAAATGTGATGCAAAATGAAAAATACCAAGTGAAACATGCTCTCTCTATTACAGTTTGGAATGATAAAAGGCCCAAATATGTTACAAGGCATTGTAGGAAAGATGCCAAAGTCCTGGGAGGAGCAGACAGCACTTAAAATCCTAAGTAGGGGTTTGTTTCAGGACTGGTTCCACCTGATAGAAGAAATTGTTTATTCCCATGTTGTAGTAGGTGGATGCAGGTTGGTCTCATGATTTTTCCATAAGTACATTTCCCTTTTATTGAATACCTCCTTTCTGCCTCACACTCAGCTTTTTGACTTTTCTTTTTATGTCTCTCTCTCTCTTCCTCCCCTGTGCCTCTTTGTCTGTGTTCTCCCTTTTTATGGTCCCCATTATAGATTTATAAAGAGCTCCCCCACTTGTCTCTTCGAGGCATTATAGCTGCATCAGATCCCAGATGCCACAAGTAGCTTTCAACAAGAGCCCTTTAGGTTTTAAAGCTGCAGTATCCCATAGTAGGCAAAGCTCGAGACAGACACAGGGCTTGTATATTCTATTCTCATCTCTGCCACTGATTCACTGGTTGACCCCCAAGCAGGTCATTTTGCCCTTTCAGTTTCCTCATGGCTAAGACTAATTTCTTCTCAGGGATCTTGGGAGGGATAACTAACTCATGACCAGAAAGCACTTGGTCCATATAAAGTTCGATGGAAAGGCTAGAAAATAGCACATTTCAGGAAGCCATAAACTGGCAAAGCTAATTTTGATAATTTTGCCTTGAGAAGTGAAGATCTGGGGACCTAACAATAATCTTCAAGTTTATCAAAGGTAGTGACCAGGTGTTCTCTCTCACCACTGAAGAGAAAACATAAGAACTGGCCTCAAATTGTATGAAGAAAGCTTCAAGTTAAGACAATAACAACATATTAACACCTAGGATTTATACCATGTTCTTCTTCTGAAGAGCCCCAAGGAACTTCCTGAGATACTGTATTACTAAGTGATAGAATCTTCTGGTAAGGTTTATGCTTTAACTGTTCAGGTCATTCTGCCTAAAGATAGGGAGATCGATTGACATCTTGATGTAGACAAATATTTAATAATGGGCTCTCTGAAAAGGCACAACCTACTTCTAAGTTTCATATGCACTACTAATAGCCTCTTCATTACTTTCTCAAATTCTGATAATTAACAAAACAATATATGAAGCCCAGATTTGTAGCTGTGGTTGATTTCCAAGGTGTAAATGCTCTCAGATAAATATTCAACAATCACTTCTTTCCAGCTGGTAAGAGCTGGCTCCAGCACATCTCTGGACCACGCTCCTTCTAGTGGGAACACTTCTGTTCTACTAAAAAGTTTTAGAGGAACTGGCCTTCTGGCCTTCTGGCCTAGGCATAAGTAAATAAAAGAGGAGCAGTGGGATTTAACTGCTGGTAGAGAAGCCTCATAAAAGCAGCTGTGGTAAGGTGGCGTGAGATGGTGAGGGTGTGGAAGTTCACCTAGCTTCTGTCTTGGCCTTAGTTTCATTGGCATACCAATCAAAGAGGACATTGAGAGGGGGGTCCACCTCACTGCCTGTGGATTAGGACCTATTCTTGGCCAGGGCAATTGCATCCCAATGTATCAAGTGCTCAACAAAAGTCCCTGACTGAATGTTAACTTGTTCGCTCTATTCACTGCAAAGTTTAGAGTAGCAGTTCTCAAAGTATGGTTTAGGGAACCTTGAAGGGTCCCTGAGACACTTCCAGGGTGTCTTCAAGTCAAAATAGTAAAAAAAAAAAAAATTCACAATAGTAATAATAATATATTTTAATTTCTAATATGAAAAAAATATCCATAGTTATATAACCCACATAAACACAGGTTCTTTGGAGTCCTCAATAATATTTAAGAGT